TTAGTGGAACAAACAACAACTACTGTTAGTGGAACAAACAACAACTACTGTTAGTGGAACAAACAACAACTGCTGTTAGTGGACGTAATGTTAGTTTAGCTCTTTTTATGAATATTGTCACATCTAATTCTGTGAATGAAGTTTTTATTTCAACCAAACCAGATGCTGATTGTTGGGAAAACTAACAAAGACGTTATTTTTTATTTTATTTCTGTCCGTTTTTTTTATGATTATCTGCTAAAATGAGTGTTTTTATTAATGGAGTCTGGTGGGCTGTAGCAGACATTGTTTGGGTCTGTTGCTGTAGTACGACAAAGAGTGAAGTGAAGTGTGTTTGTAACCTTTAAATCATTGCAACAGTTTTACACTGAGTGAATGTAGAAGATAAAAGGACATAATGTGATGAGGTCACAGATAATCTGCTGTACGATCACAATATAAAGTCACTTCTTCCTTATGCTTATCTGATCTGATATAATATAATATAATATGATATAATATAATATAATATAATATAATATAAAGTGAAGCTCTACCTGCTGGTATGAGACAGTCAGATTTCTGACCACCAGGTCTTCATTAGGACGAGTCTCCCCCTGCTGGAAACACACAGGAACAACACATTTTATCAGTCAGTGATAAAAAGGAAGATCACCTGATAGACTTTCACTCAATTACATTATTTGTCAGCTTTAGATAATTTTCAGATTCAAAGTTTACATAAAAAAACACATTTGTGTCTTCGATCTGAACACCAAAGTCGTCTTTCAACGTTTCAGTGAAATTACTTGAGAATAATAATGAATAATAATGAGTTATATCAGTGTGTTTCTTACGTTGCAGACGGTGAACGGTCCGAAAGACGCAGACTGATGAACTGAACTCCAGTAACACTCACACTTTTTCTACAGAGGACAAAAGGTGACAAACACATTTTAACAGTTAATTTATCTGCAGTAAGAGAAAAATGTTTAATGACACTGGAATCAGTACGGAAGCTCGATAAAGACATAACGTCAAAGAACGACTAAAATAAATGTTAATAAATCTTTATGGTGAGTTAAAGTGATGAGATATTAAATAAAAATAGACTTTCTATGTCAAAATTACTAAAATCACGTTTGTCAGTTAAAAACTAATAAATAATTTGTTATAATCAGAACATGAGAACTTCACAAACAGATGATTAATAGTTGAATTGATTTTACCTTTCCCATCTCTATTTCTCTGCAGGCCATGACTATCACCTGAAACACACACAGACATTAGTCAGAGCCTCCTGGTCGATGTGAGGAACTCATTTAAATGTTAATAATAAAAGTTATTGATCAGTGACTGATGGTGTGGCTCAGACTAATTGCTGGGCAGTAAACGGTTCAGGTTTCGTGTTGGACCTTGACGTCGTGCTCCCAGATCATCCTCCAGAAGTCGATCAGCGTGGAGCTCAGAGGACCCTGAGAGGCGATGTACCTGTTGTCTGCCGACGCCCCCTGCAGGACAAACACCAACATTACAACAACAAGAGAGACGCACACAGAACAACAAGCAACAGAATTAATCAGGATTTTCTCCTCTTAATGAACAAATTAATTATAATTCTTCAATCATCTAATTGATTAATGGACTAATAGTTTGAGCTGTATTAATTGTAGTTTCATTAATAACAATAGTTCTATAATATTGTCTCATAAAGTAACCCTCAACTGTTTTGTATTACCAGCCTCTGTGATTATTTTATTTATTTATTCATTGTATTTTTTAATGTCATTTAATTTATCTATTTATTTTTTGTACTTATTTAATTTAATTTAACCAGATTGTTTGTTTCCAGACGGAACAAAGACAGGGTGTAAATATAAGAGAGAAAAATAAATAAATAAATAAATAAAATCAGATAACAAATAAACAGAAAGAAGAAAGAAAACAACAACAAAAACAATACATCCACTGCAGGTTTTTAATAGTGTTTGACGTATAAACATTAATATTCTCTTATTATTGTTTAGAAATGATTTTATGGAGGATGAAGGACGACTCACCTTGATGAAGCTGGCATTGATGTAATCAGAGTCACAGTCTGAGGTCAGCAGAGACAACACAACCCGAGACTGGTCATCTACACACACACACACACACACACACACATTTTTTCAAATCAGTTTTAGAGCAACATTTTTTTTCACACAAATACAGAAACATTTTTCTCATTTACAGCTGTTTTGATTCAGTATCTCAGTTTTGTTTTTAATGTTCAACAAATCAATAATGACCTAATAACTGGTAGAATAACACACATTGATTAGACTTATATTAGTAATTCAACGTTTTATCTAAAACAATAAATTAGACCTTTTATGTTATTTATGTTTCCATGGTGACAATAAGGCCACTGAATCATTATAGTCAGTTTAATATGTTCACATATGATGAAATGATGACTGTTATAATGCAGCTGACTCATCCTTTAACTTTCTATCATGGAAACAGTTTATAATCAGACAAGGAAGGAGGGAAGGAGGGAGAGAGGAAGGAAGGAGGGAAGGAGAGAGGGAAGGAGGGAAGGAAGGAAGGAAGGAAGGAGAGAAGGAAGGAGAGAGGGAGGGAAGGACATAGAGGAGGTTCCTACATGGCAGGATGTCTTTGTATCTGTTCTTCTTGATGTTTTCCTTCAGAGCTCCGGCCTCAGTGGTCAAACTCAGGTCTCTCTTTAACACCGAGGTCTGTGAACGCACCACCTGTCACACACACACACACACACACACACACACACACACACACATAAAGATCAGCTGATAAAATAATCTGGTACCAAAAGTCTCCAGATAACGAGAGCATTTATTTCCAGGACACAGCTCACTGGTTCCCATCAGTAAACTGGTCCCTGAACACATCACTGC